GGTGCGATGCAGTGAGCGCTTGCGTGCTCAACTAGAATTCATACACTCCACTCCAGCCGTCCCCTCCCCACTCCTACTCCTCATGCCCTCTTCATAGGGCTGCTGGCTCCCTTCTCATCACACCAGGAGAGACTTTGCAGGTTGGTTTGTGAACAGTGCATGACAGCATTCATGATATTCTTTCCACCCCACTCCACCCATCCCCACCCCACACCTACCCTCCATGTCCGTGGCAGGGAGCTGTTGGATCGCTTCACACCCGAGCAGATGAACCGCTACGAGGCGTATCGACGGTCAGGATTCAAGCAGGCCAGCATGCGACGGGTATGGCTCAGGGTCTTTCCTTCTCCTTGTGCTAGCGTTCCCTTCCACGCCGGTTTGGTCCTTTTTTTGCATGTTCTCTTTATTCACTCACGTTACCACCTGCTGAGCTGCTCCCTGTGCCCCTTGGCTTGTTATGCACTCAGCTGTCCTGGTTGCGTCCTAGTCCCTCAAGGTACACCTGCCTTCAAGTTTTAACATTCTCAGTTCCTTGCTTTTCCTAAGATTTCCGATCCTGTGCCTGTGACCGCGTGCCCTGCCACACACCCTCTTGACACTTTCAGATTATTCACCCTCTCCCTACCCTCCCCACCCCACCTCACTCCATCGCACCTCACTTCACCGAACTCCACCGCATTGCACCGCGTGTGCAGCTGGTGCACGGGGTGGCGGGAACCACAGTGAGTCCGCAGCTGGGCATTGTGATGTCGGGCGTGGCGAAGCTCATGGTGGGCGAGCTCGTGGAAACGGGTGAGCTGAAGCTGGCAGGGTTGTGGAGGGTGGTGGGAGGGCGAAAGGGGGTTATGCCTTGTGTTGCCAGTTCATGGTGGGCGAGCTCGTGGAGACGGGTGAGCTGACATGGCGATGGGGTGATGCAAGCGCGAAAGGGGGTTGCAAGGGAGGCGGGTGAGATGGGGACAGCGGGTGAGGCATTGTGTTCCAAGCTTGGTAAGCGAGCTCGTGGCCGGGTGAGGTGGCGGGAAATGGGAGGGCAACAGGCGTTTATGGTGGAAAGAGGTGGAGTGAGGGAAGTGTGTATGTGAGTTTGTGTGTGCGAGGGAAAGTGTGTGCAGCACAGGGGAGCGAGACACACATGTGGGTGGTGAGTGCATTGGGCATGGGGGGGAAGGTGGCACTAGCAATGCTGCTGGTGGGGGGTGGGAGGCTGGGGATGGGGAGGCTGGTGGAGAGTAGTGGGGCCATGGAAGAGGTCAGTGAAACAGGGGCGGGGGGGAGTTGAGTTGTGAGCAGCTTCGAGTTCTGCTGTGTCTCTTTTCCCTTACCCGCCCATCCTCCCCTTCCCTTTCCATACAAACCCATCATCTCATCCCCATTCACTGCTCTCATCTTTCTCCATCCATCATCCCTCCACCTGCCTACCCTCCATTCCAACAGCCCGCCTGGTGATGGGTGAGAGGGGCGATGAGGGGCCAATCAGGCCCACGCACATCCGCGAGGCGTATCGACGGCTCAAGATGGAGAAGAGGGTGCCCGTTCGATCTCGACCACCGCTTTTCCGGTGACGCCGTATTCCTGCAGCAGATAGGGGCTTTCAGCAGCCTGCGTTGCAGTTGGCACAATACTAGCACGGGGGAGATGGAGCCTGGAACAGTGTGGTGTGGTGTACAGTTGCGAACGCGGAACCAAGTTTGTATGATTCTGCCTCTTGAAAGTGCAACAGCGTATGTGTACCACTGGTGCTGCAGGGGCTGCAGGCTGCAGGAACCTTCACCTTGAGCAAGGCTCCAGCTACCATGTATCGCATGTTCGCTGGGGTAGTAATCGCGCCACTGATCTCAGCAATGGAAATACACTCTGCTATGTGAGTGTCAAACTATGTTTGTAGATATAGATATGCTCTAGTGAGTTGCATGTGTGAGAATCGAGAAGGAAATGAATGAGGATGATTGCACTAGAAAGCATTGGGATACATATAGCAAACCCTAACAGGGTTGTACTCACTACAGCGTACCCCACTGCAGACTAGAGAAACATAATATTCTGACACACCCCCATAGTCAACAGCACAAGAAGCAAAGCAAAGCAAGCTCAAGGTGGATCACAATGTCACCACACATTCTGAGCACAAGTACAAGAAGTAACAGTTTAAAGTTCACAATAAATAAGCAAAGCTAGAGGCTATCACAGAGGGCAAGTGAGGAGGAGGAGGCTGGACTAATAGGAGAGGAGAGAGGAGGCAACGGCGGAAGCTGCAGACACACGGGCAACAGGAGCGGCGCGCACTGTGGCTACCGGAGGCGCACCTCCGGACTACAGGAGTAACTGGCTCCGCGGCTAAGACGAGCGGCAGGAGCAACGGACCCACGGGCGACTGGCGCAGCGGCATCACTGGGCTATCGGAAGCGCACCTCCGGACTACTGGCACTGCTAGCAACACGACGGCTACCTCCACCCAACCTCCCTCTACTACCGCACCCCCATTCACACACCCCCTGCTGCACCCCTAGGTTCACTCACACTTCACCCCCTAGCACCATGCCTTTGGCTCCCACACATCCACCCCCCTCAGCGGCAGCTGCAGCAGTGGGAGATCCCCTCCCCCCCACTGCTGCACCTGCAGCAGGGGGAGGGAGAGGAGAAAAGGGCGGAGAGGAGGGGGGGGGGGGGGCTGGTGCTGCAGGTCCCCTCCCCCCACTGCCGCAACCGCAGCAGGGGGATGGCAAATCCCCTCCCCCCCACTGCTGTACCCGCAGCAGGGGGAGGTAGGAGAAGGGTGGGGGACCTGGTGCTGCAGATCCCCTCCTGCCTCCCCCTGGACCTCCAAGCTTCCCCCCCTTCTCTCCGCCATCCCCATGGAAGGGGGGGGGGGGGCTGGTGCCGCAGATCCCCTCCCCCCCCACTGCGGCTGCACCAGGGGCGGCTGCTCCAGGGGCGGCTGCACCAGGGGCGGCTGCTCCAGGGGCGGCTGCACCAGGGGCGGCTGCACCAGGGGCGGCTGCTCCAGGGGCTGCTGCACCAGGGGCGGCTGCTCCAGGGGCGGCTGCACCAGGGGCGGCTGCACCAGGGGCGGCTGCTCCAGGGGCGGCTGCACCAGGGGTGGCTGCACCAGGGGCGGCTGCTCCAGGGGCGGCTGCACCAGGGGCGGCTGCTCCGACGCGTGGCCCCCCCCCCAGGTCGCCCCTCCCGTCGCCTGTTGAGGCGACCTGAGGGGGGGGGGGGGGGGGGGAGGAGTACGGGGGCCGACGCGCGGCCTCCCAGGGCGCCAGAGCAGGCGGAAGAAGGGGCGACGCGCGCCCCCCCAGGTCGCGCGCCCCCCCCCCCCCCCGCTCGCCACGCAAGGCGACGGGAAAAGGGGGGGGGGGCGGTGCACGGGCCCCTGGTGCGCCACGACCGGCATGAGGGCGGGGCCTGGGTCGGGGCAGGTCCGGGACAGGGCCGGGACGGGGCTGAGGAAGGGCCGGGGCGGGCCGCGAAGGGGCCTAACGGGCCGCCAAGGGGCCGCGGAAGGGCCTGGGCCGGCCGCGAAGGGGCCTAACGGGCCGCGAAGGGGGGCCGCGACGGACCTAACGGGCCGCGACAGGGTCGGGGCAGGGCCGGGGTCGGGGCAGGTCCGGGACAGGGCCGGGACGGGGCCGAGGAAGGGCCGGGGCGGGCCGCGAAGGGGCCTAACGGGCCGCAAACGGGGCCTGACGGGGCCTAACGGGGCCGCAAACAGGGCCTGACGGGGCCGCAAACGGGGCCTGACGGGGCCTTACGGGGCCTGACGGGGCCGCAAACGGGGCCTGACGGGGCCGCGAAGGGCCTCACTAGGGGCCGCGAAGGGGCCTTACGAGGGGGCCGCGAAAGGGGCCTTACGAGGGGGCCGCGAAAGGGGCCTTACGAGGGGCCGCGAAGGGGGCCGTACGAGGGGCCGCGAAGGGGCCTTACGAGGGGCCTTACGAGGGGCCGCGAAGGGGCCTAACGAGGGGCCGCGAAGGGCCTTACGAGGGGCCGCGAAGGGGCCTAACGAGGGGCCGCGAAGGGCCTTACGAGGGGCCGCGAAGGGCCGTTAAGGGCAGGCGCGACGCGCGCCTAGGGTAGGAAAAAAAATTCAGTGTGAACGTGGTGGGCCCTTGGAAGGATCGATATGCTCTATACCATGTGAGAATCGAGAAGGAAATGAATGAGGATGATTGCACTAGAAAGCATTGGGATACATATAGCAAACCCTAACAGGGTTGTACTCACTACAGAGTACCCCACTGCAGACTAGAGAAACATAATATTCTGACAGCATGTTAGGGGGTACACAACTTTCTCGACACTTTGGTTGTATCCCTTCCTTTGACCTAATATCACCATTCTCTCGCTACTCGAGCAACTAGGTTCTTGAGATGGTATCACGAGTAGGTGAGTTCCTAGCCTAGCCCCGAATCCCCCCACCCCTTAGCACATCGTGCCCCGTCCCCTTAGCAGGCCGCGCCCTGTCCGTTCGCAGGCCTCGCCCCTAGCCTGCCCCGTACTCGTCACGCTCCTTACCCGTCCGCGCCCCACCCTGCCCCTTACCCTTGCGTGCAGCCCGCGCGCCCCACTAGCTCGCACGATCGCACGCGCGCGCAGCCACGCATCTGCAGCAGCACACGCGCACGCAGGTGCACGTGCGCCAGCAGGTGCACGTGCGCCAGCAGTACGAATAGCAGCCGCGCGCTGCAGCTGCCGTCCGCACGCACGCTCGCCACGCGTGCACAGCAGCGTTAACACGCGCAGCAGCAGCCGCACGCGTTGCAGCAGCCACGAGCACGCACGCCACTGCACGCGTGCGAGCAGCACCCTCCCGCGCACGCAGCAGCCACTGCACGCACGGCTTCAGCAGCAGCTGCACACTCCTCTGCAGCCAATCGCACGCACGCCCTGCAGCAGCCGCAGCCACGCGCGTACAGCGGCAACAGCAAGCGCAGCACCTGCCTCCGCATCTGCAGCGAGCGCAGCAGCTGCAGCCCGTGCTACAGAATCCGCTCCTAACCACTCCTATCCGCCCCTACCAGCTCCTCACCACTCCTATCCGCCCCTACCAGCTCCTCACCACTCCTATCCGCCCCTACCAGCTCCTCACCACTCCTATCCGCCCCTACCAGCTCCTCACCACTCCTATCCGCCCCTACCAGCTCCTCACCACTCCTATCCGCCCCTACCAGCTCCTCACCACTCCTATCCGCCCCTACCAGCTCCTCACCACTCCTATCCGCCCCTACCAGCTCCTCACCACTCCTATCCGCCCCTACCAGCTCCTCACCACTCCTATCCGCCCCTACCAGCTCCTCACCACTCCTATCCGCCCCTACCAGCTCCTCACCACTCCTATCCGCCCCTACCAGCTCCTCACCACTCCTATCCGCCCCTACCAACTCCTCACCACTCCTATCCGCCTCTACCCGCTCCTCACCGCTCCTCACCGCTCCTAACCACTCCTACCTGCCTCTAACCGCTCCTCACCGCTCCTAACCGCTCTCGACCGCACTCCACCGTACCTGACTGCTCCCCACCGCACTCGAACGCATCTACCCACACCTTTCCGCACGTGCAGCACCTTCCTACCGCCTACTACGACTGGCTTTCCACTCACAGCGGCTGGCGGCCGCAGTACCCTCTACTAGCGTGACCTAGGCTCGACCCTCTGCCTTCATTTGTCCCTCGCCTCGCTCGGTTCTCACTTAGCACTTAGGCCTCGCTCGTTACTCGTTTCGCTCGTTACTCGTTTCGGCTCGTCCTAGCCTCACCACTCTGGCTTAGGTCGCTCCTAGCTCAGGCTGTTCCTCGCCTCGTCTCTTCGGGCACCGTACGCCTCACTTGTTTCTAGCTCCGGCCCCTTCTAGCTCTGCGCTTCTAGGCCGGTAGTTCCCTCGTTATGGCGGCCCCTCGTGTACTGCGCTTTGATGTTGAGGGTAGAGCCCTAGAGTTCCCCTCCTGGCTCATCCGTGCCGAGCGGTTTCTCAAGAGCCAGCACCAGGACAATGATACGCTCTGGGCGCACGCTCCGTCCCCTCCTGACCTGGGTGCTGAGCCTAACGAGGCGGCCCAGGCGTGCTTCGATAAAGCACGTACCGCTCGTTCAGTGTGGCAGTCGCGTGACGCTGCGGCATGCATTGCCCTCTCCAGCCTTCTCCTCGAGACTGAGGAGGCTCACTTCTCTCAGGTTCGATTTGCCAAGGACCTGCTCGCTGCCATTAAGACACGTTATTCCACTCCCACCTCCGCCTCTCTTGGCCGCCTCTTTCTGACGTTTCTCTTTCTTGACTTAGGCTCGTTTGACCGCGCTGCTGATCTTATCACCCACTTGCGCTCGCTAGACGTCAGCTACCGTGCTGCTTGTACCGAGGCTCAGCTTGCACTGCTCCCCCCGCCCATGGCGATCACTATTCACTTTATCACCACTAGCCTCCCTGACCGTCTTGCACCTGTCCATGATGAGCTTCTTCGGAAGCACCATAGTGAGCTCACCATCGATGTCCTTGAGACCGCTCTCAAGGACATTGAGAGCAATATCCGCTCCGTTGCCTCCGCATCTGGCACCGTAGTTCCCCCGCTCTTTCAGGGGTGCATTGTCCTACAGCTTCCCACCTTCACTGCTTCTCTTGCCTCTACTGCGTCTCCTTCTCCTTTGGAGACTGCGGCCGTGTCCACCGTGGGTGGGCGGTCCAGGGGTAAGGGAGGTAAGAGAGGGGGGAAGGGTGGTGGCGCTAGTGGTGGTGGCAAGGGTGGCGGAGGCTCTGGTGACACTAGTGCGTCTGGTGGAGGCGACCCTCGGAGCGGCCCTGCACCTGCGGGCCCGACGGGAAGGGGTGCTTGTGCGGTCACGTGGTACACGGCACAGCGGCGGCAGCAGTCCCAGCAGCAGCAGCCACAGTCAGGACAGCCGCAGCAGCAGGGACAGCCGCAGCAGCAGGTTCAGCGGCGGGTGCAGCAGCAGCCTCAGCAGTGGGGACCTGGTGGACCAGGGAGCGCTGGTCGTGGCGGTGGTCCGCACAGCTCAGCGTTGCGTGGTGTCACTCCGCCTCCCTGCCCGTACGTGGTTCAGTCAGGCAGTCGTGCGGGTTTTCACTGTGGCCGTTTCCACGCTCTTGGTCACTGCTTTGCACAGCTTACTGACCGCGTTCACGCACAGTTCGGCCTTGGCCCCGCTCCAGACTGGGCCCCGCTTGCTCGCTCTCGTGGACTTGCTTTGTGGGACTTGTCTGTGGTAGCGTTAGTTGATGCTTTAGACTCTGTTTCTGTTATGTATGCTGATGTTGATTATAGTGCTGCTGGATCTGTCTGCTCGCGTGTTCGTAGTTTAGGTTATTTGCCTGTTGCTAGTGTAGATCTTTGTCTCTCTAGTCTAGGTGCTTGTGTTTCCGCACTAGGTGCTTGTGTAGCTACTAGCCCATGTGCACCTACGGCTGAGGCGTCGCTGTCCTTCACGCTGGACTCTGGCGCGTCGCAGTGCTTCTTCCGCGACCACACGACTCTCATACCACTTCTTGCTCTGGTTCCAGGTGCACTGGCTGATCCTACTTCAGGACCAGCGGTTGCACGCACAGCTCTACCACCCTCCCGTGCCCGGTTGTCCCCTCTGGTGTCCTTAGAGGTCTCCGCATCCCCTCGTTCACTCGGAACTTGGTGGGTGTTGGATACCTCCAGGATAGGGGGATCACAGTTACCTTTCTGGGAGGCGGGAGGACTGCAGTCTTCACGGACGCTGCCACCGGTGTCGTTCTTGCCACGTTTCCCAGAGAGTCCTGCTCCGGTCTCTACGTTCTGCACACTGAGCACTCCCAGGTAGCTGCGTCCCCTCAGGTTGCTGCGTCCCCTCAGGTTGCGGTGTCCGGCCAGGTGGCTGTGTCCGGTCTGGTTGCTGTGTCTTGCTCTTGTCGGTCACTCTCTCACTCGCTAGTCTTGTGGCACCACCGTCTTGGTCACCCGTCTCTCCCACGCCTCCGCAGCATGGCTAGCCAGCGTCTTGTCTCAGGTCTCCCGCGCGTCTTTGCGTCGCTCCCTCCTTCGCCTGCGCCGTTGTGCACTCCTTGCGTCGAGGGTCGGCTGCGCGCCACTCCTCACTCCTCCTCCCTTCGTTCGGCCACAGCACCTTTCTAGACTCTCCACTTGGATGTCTGGGGCCCCGCCCCTCGCCCTGGGCCCGAGAGGGAGAGCTTCTTTCTAGTGGTCGTTGACGAATACTCCCGCTACACCACCGTGTTCCTTATGGCGAAGAAGTCCGACGTGACTTCTATGCTGATCCGGTGGTTGCTGGCCACTAAGACCACACGTGGCCATCGTGTTAGTTGTCTTCACTCCGACCGTGGGGGCGAGTTTCGCTCCGGCATTCTTCGCGGATTCTGTAGCGAGCAGGGCATCACCCAGTCCTGGACGCTTCCAGAGTCCCCACAGCAGAATGGGGTTGCTGAGCGCCGCATAGGCTTGGTCATGGAGATTGCCCGTACCTCCATGATCCATGCCCGTGCGCCCCATTTTCTGTGGCCCTACGCGGTTCGCTACGCCGCCCACCAGCTGAACCTCTGGCCTCGTGTCTCTCGGCCAGGGGGTTCACCAACCAGTCTTTGGACCGGGTCCCCTGGTGTTGCGTCGGAGTTTCGTGTCTGGGGTTGCCTTGCGCTTGTCCGCGACACCTCTGCGGACAAGCTCTCGGCCCGCGCCATCCCCTGTGTCTTCCTTGGTTTCCCGGTGGACTCCTTTGACTACACCTTTTACCACCCGCCCCTCCACCGGTTCCTTGACTCTCGTGATGTCCGGTTTAGCGAGTCCGTGTCCTACTACACCCGGTACCCCTATTGAGGTCTCCTGGTTCCCCCCCCTCCCCTTTTTCTCGCCCCCTCTCCTCCTCCTGCTCCCGCTCCTCTGGTACCCCCGACCCCCCCTGGTCATGCCCTGTCAGGTGTGTCTCACGCTACCCCTCTACCCTCGGTCGCATGTCAGGTAGTGTCTCCGCAGTCCTCCTCACAGTCCCCTCAGCAACCTTCGGCACTTCCACGACAGGTTACTGTGGACTACGGGGGTGTTGGCGCTGGAGGTGCTAGCTCTAGGGGTGCTGGTGTTGGGGGCACAGATGCTGGGGGTGCTAGTTCTGAGGGTGCTGGAGCTGAGGGTGTTGGCGCTGGAGGTACGAGTTCTGAGGGTGCTGGAGCTGGGGCTACTGGCGCCGGAGGTGCTCGTTCTGGGGGTACTCGCACTGGGGGTGCTGGCACTGGAGGTGCTAGTTCTGAGGGTGCTCGTCCTGGGGACACTAGTTCTGTGGGTGCTGGAGCTAGAGGTAGTAGATCTGAGGAGACTGGAGCTGGAGGCACTGCTACTGCGGCGCCTAACCCACCTCCCCACCGCTACCTGACGAGTTTCCAGAGGCTTCGTCAGCTGGAGCGCGAGGAGCGTGAGCGGTTGGAGCACTGTCTTACTTCGTTCGAGTCCTCGTCGTTCTCCACCTCAGTCTATTCTCCCGTCACCTCCTGTGTCGTCTCTTACAGCCTCCACCTCTACCCCTATCACTGACTATTACCGTGCCACCCGTCCTGTTGTCACTCGTGTTCTCGCCTCTCTAGTCATGGACCCTCGTGCCTCTCCGTCGTCTGTCTCGGCTCTTTCTGCCACTGTCACAGACTTTGCCGCCACCCGCCGCCTTGACTACGCCACCCGTGTGGTAAGTGCCTGTCCTCTGTCCGCTGGGGGTGAGTCTGCCCTTAGCTGTGATGTCCTAGAGGACAGGCAGTTTGAGCTGGAGTTCTTGGCGGCCGCTTCTCCCCATCTCTGTGCCATGCTGCTAGCTCCTGAGGGAGACCCCGACGCCCTTGACATACTGACTCCTCGCACGTACCGTGAGGCAGTGTCAGGGCAGTGGGTTTCTCAGTGGAGAGCGGCCATGGAGTCAGAGATTGCATCTTGGAGATACACACATACTTACATCGACGCAGTGTCAAACTTGTATATAGCTTACATTGTGTAGGCTGTAGTGGGGTAGCCCATAAGGGGTACAACCCAATTAGGGTTAGTACTTGTACCCAACTCTTTGCTAGTTCATTCATTCTCGTTCGTTATTTCTGACATGGTTTCAGAGCAGGTCCCTTCTAGGACCGTTTTTTGGGCCCACCACCTGCTGCCCTGCTAGCCACCCTCGCAACCCATAGGCCCCCTAGGCCCCGACCCGTAGCTGCTCCTAGCCCGGCCCGTCGCCCTTAGGCCCGACGCCCCTTGGCGTCGCCCGTCGCCCCTAGCCGCGGCCCCTTGGCCCCGTCGCCCCTAGCCGCGGCCCCTCGCGACCCGTCGCCCCGTCGCCCCTAGCCGCGGCCACATTGCCCCGTCGCCCCTAGACTCGGCCCCTTGGCCCCGTCGCCCCTATCCGTGGCCCCTCGCGACCCGTCGCCCCGTCGCCCCGTCGCCTCTAGCCGCGGCCCCGTCGCCCCTAGCCTCGGCCCCGTGGCCCCTCGCGACCGGTCGCCCCTAGCCTCGGCCCCTTGGCCCCGTCGCCCCTAGCCGCGGCCCCTTGGCCCCGTCGCCCCTATCCGCGGCCCCTCGC